GAACACACACACGCACCGATAACCTTTCGAAAATATGCGTTTTTGCTCGCTGTAGCAGCACTATTGCAGTGCACAGCAAAAACGCATAAAAGTGAACAATTCGCGTTTAGTGGTCTTTACTTGAAAATGACTAATCAGTGAACAGTTCTCCGCCAAAATCCTTAAATGCCCGTACATGAGAACAGTGCATGCTTGGAGACTAAGTTTGTAATATTTAAGTTGTACTTGGACAGGGGCATTCCCCTTTAAATTTCAGCCTTCCAGCTTTTCTGGTTACCGAATTGACAATTTTCTCACCACGTGCCTGCACATAAGGACCTCAAATAACTGGGGGCTGAATTTGAAATGTCTAGCTCACACATGCACAGAGAACGTTCCTGCAAAGTTTCAACTCTCTGTCCTTTATAGTTCCCGAGATCGCTTTCCCGTCAAGAAATTTGCGCATTTTTTAAGGCATCCGTACGCAAGGGTCGTACACAGTGCGGGTACATACTCCCAAAGTTTCAGCCTTCTAGCATTTCTGGTTCTCGAGTTGGAAGTGGGTGACAAAGTGCGGACACACAGACACACATAAATAGTCTCTAGTATGCGTTTTTGCCGTGCAGTGCTAGAGCGCTGCAACAGGCAGCAGAAACGCATATTGCGACGATTTGTCTGTCTGGTTTCTTTTGTTTCTCTCTGTTTGTTTTTTTTTTTGTTTCTTTTTGTCTGATTTTCTTTTTTTTTGTATTTTGTTTTTTGTCTGTTTCTGTCTGTCTGTTGTTTCTGATTCGTCTGTCCGGGTATTTCTACTGGCCAATCACGTAAGCCTTGATGCTGAAATCCTGCCAGTGTGTTCACTGGCCAAGTGCGACCCCAGGAACGCGGGGTCAGCTGTCACGCGCGCCTACATTTTACATACACGTAAAAGTTTTGGCAGGAAAAATGCTAACTCGGAACAAGAAAAGCTTGAAAGCTGAAACTTTGGGAGAATGTTCAATATTCATGTAGGACCAAAATATTTCAAATTCAGCACTTTAGAGCTGCCGGGGACTCACGTACAAACAACTGAAAGTTTTGACGGGGAAACTGCTAACTCGGGAACAAGGGAAGCTAAAAAACTGAAACTTTGGGGGAAGGTCCCCTACCCATATATAAGTTTCCAAATTCAGCTGCTTGGGACTGCCATGGGACTCACGCATGGGCACGTGGAAATTTAGGCCGGAAAACTGCTATGTCGGGAGCGAAAAAAGCTGGAAGGCTGAAATTTTAAGGAAATGTTCCCTACCCATGTGTGACTGAAAGATTTCAAATTCAGCTCTGCTAATGGGGTTTTTTTCACGTAGCAGCAATTTTCCATTCGTCGGGTCTTTGAAGCCGACATCTGCAGTCTTTGAGATTTTGGCATGCCACATAGCTGCACAATTAATTTTCTGAACTTCGAGGGCCGGCATTTTACAAATTTTAGCTATTGTGATTTGTTGTGATTTTGCTGCAGTACGAAATACTGCAAAAACGTATGATCGCGCCGGCCCACTTGGTTCGTCGCAGCCTGAGTTGCATTTGCATATATGCAAAAACGCATAAAAATAACAATGAATATAAAGAGCCAGTGAAATAATGCACTTGTAATAATAAGTGATATTTGCTTTATAATGACAATTCCATTTCTTGAAAATTGTCAGCTTTGTTACTCTCTTAGCGAAACATCTTGCATGGGTCACTAAAATTCTAATTTAGCATTTTGTGAGAATCGCGTAAGCGCTTTCACTGTATCCGACAACACGCAGCTTGCATCAGTCAGCTCTTTAACCTACGAGGATGTTACTGAAGAAGTTTGCCTGAGAATGTGCAGTGAAAATCGGGTAAGCTTCTCCATTTTAGAAATTCAAAACTCCGATTTTCAAAGCACTGAAGTAGAGGTCAAGCATATGTGAACCACGGAAGATTTTTTTTTTATTTTATCAAAATCACATCCGCTACTCGAATCATTGGGCTTGAGATACGCAGACATAATTGCATCTCAAACTGCAGTGAGGGAACACCAACTGCTCCTAAGTGTTTTTCTGCTTTGGAATAACACACGATATGCCCATTTACTCCACAGTGTCTCTTTTAACCTGCATTACATCGTCTTTTGTTCCTCTCCTTACAGTTCTTTCCCATTCGCTTATGCGGCTCGCAAAAAATTGCTTACGTCAAAATTATACTCTCTTATTTTTGTGCGATGAAATCAAATTACAGTGAGCTCGCATGTACTAGGTTTTGTCCACGTATGTGTGAGTGTCTATTTTGCTCTCTAACGCAGTGATTTAATTCCAAAGCTACAAAACCAAGAATTTGAAAATTACAAATATTAAACAGCTCTGCACGAATCTGAAAATATAAAATTAATCCTTGCGTTTTTTTTAAATACGAAGCAGAAAATAAGAAAAGTTGTTTTAAGTCCAAACAGTCCGTGTTTCATCATTTTTTATGCAATAACAATTTTTACAAAAATTTTAGCAAGCCCCTTTTTAACTTCTTAGTCCAAATGCTAGCCAGCATTCCCAAACATACATTGTTAGCATGCTTTTTAGCTAAAGCTTTTTACACTATAATATTAGTGTTGCTCGGTTTTAGGATAACAACGGCCGGACTATTTTGTGCGCTTCATTCGTTTACGACCATGCAACTTTCCTTTGTACCATTTACCGATCCAAAAGCTATCCGGAAGGTCAGCTGAAAACTGAGACTGCATCAGGAAAACGATTTTTCGAGAAGTTCTGTCTTGCGGGTACTCATTTTTTTCTAACACTTCGTTCATAAGCACTTTGAAGTCCTGTCCAAAGTTAACACAAATGTGAGTCAATATATTTGGTGTCTAGTAGATGCATGAACGATCCGATCTGATCGCAGACAGACGGAACGACGAAATGCGCCAAAGAATGCTAGGGTTTAAATGCTGTTGCAACGGAAGTGAGTGCAATTTGTCACTCATGCATCGCATGAAGTACTCAAATATTCTCGCAAGTAGTACTCTTGCCATTTTCAGACTGTTAAAAAGTGCCGCGACAGCATTCCCAAACATTCGTTTAGCCCAAAAACCCTCTTGTTCTGAATGGTCTTCCATGCTGCATTGCTTAAGCAACAGGTTCTTTGAGTTTGCTAGTTAAACGATCGAGACTGCAGCAAAACTGAAGCTAAAATTTTCTAGGTAGCATGTATCCAAAATTTCCCACAAGGACAGCATATATCCAGTGCTTGTAAATAATCCTGAACCTTACTCTGTGGGTTCTATCCCATGCAAATATTGGAGGAAAGTTCCGGAAGAACCGGGTGGTGCAAGCGTGTGCAATAAATTTGTGCATCCCGGTGTGATACCACTAGAATGAGGTACAGTTCAGAAGCAAAAATCTTTTTAATTTATTCCGATTTGTTTTATGACTTGCAGAAGAGATACCGGCAGATTGTGCCGATAGTCAGTTTTTAAGAGCTGACCAGTCAGTTATTATTGGCTATGCGCAAAACGTTTCACTTGCAAGCAGCATCGAGGACTGTATTGCGCAGTGTCTGGCGGAACATTTCCAGTGCAAGGTATGCGGTTCCAGTGTTTCATGCACTTCTGTGCTTGGAGAACCTGGATTTTTATAAAATTCAGCTTTTTTTCCTCAGATGTAACGGCAGTTTATAGAATTTAGAAATTTAGATGTTCCTGAAGACCGAATTTCCGCTTACTAGTAACCGTGAATGACGACGAGCTTTACCTTAGTAATGGTTTCACTCAATCAAATGGCTAAATACACAAACACACTTGATCCTGCTGCAAAGTGGCGTTTTGCAATAATTCACACAAACGAAAGAGCATTATCTGCAGCATGTAGAAATAAATAGCGAAGCGCACCAGAGCAGCCGATGCGATCATGCGTTTTGCGCAGTTCCGTCCAGCGGACGTTTGTTTACTAAAAATATAACTGTTTTACACTTTATGCTGTCTGGCTTCTAAGGTGAGGAATTTCCCACTAAAAGTTTCACGTGCCAGTACAAGAAAGCTGAATTTGAAAACATGGATGGGGAACATCCCTCCAAATCTCAACCTAGTAGTTTTTCGGCTTAGCGACTTTCACATCACTATTCTCATGTGGTCTTACGTAGGATTTCTGCATAATTGGGAGCTAAAATTTGAGTTTGTGAGATACATGCAGCGCAGAAAATGTCGTCTTGAAATTTCAGCATTCTATCTTTCATGGTTCCCGAGATAATTTTCCACCAAAACTTTCACGGGCCCATACGCGATACTTAAACACACGGGAAAGCCGAATTTAAATTTTCCTGGGTTCCATGTGGTCAAGGGTCATATCCACAAAATTTCAATTTTCTAGCTTCCGTGGTTCTCGAGATAATAATTCTCACCGTCAAAACTTTTGTGGGGCCGTACGCGTTACCCGCGGATAAGGGAAGACTGAATTTAAATTATTTAAATTTTCTTGGTCGCATGTGGACAGGGGACATACTCATAAAATTTCAGCTTCGTGGCTTCCGTTGTTCCCGAGATAATAATTTACTCGCCAAAAGTTTCGAGGGGAGGTAATGATACCCGAAAGCGTGGGAACACTGAATTTGCGAGGCTGTACGTGGGCAAGGGTCATTACCTTAAAGTTTCAGCTTCCTAGATTCCGCGGTTTCCGAGATAATAGTTTGCCCGCCAAAGGTTTCACTGGTCGTATATGTTACCCGCGAGTACAGAAGGGGTGATTTTGAGTTTACTAGGTCGCATGTGGTCAGGGGACATACTCACAAAATTTTAGCTTCCTAGCTTCCGTGGTTCCCGAGATAATGATTTTACCCACCAAAAATTTCACGGGGCCGTGCGTGTTATCCGAGGGCACGGAGAGGCTGAATTTAAATTTGCCAGGTCATAAATTGGCGGGGAACAATACACTAAAATTTCAGCCCCCTAGCTTTTGTGGTTCCCAAGTTGAAAGTGCGGGACAAAATGTGGGACACACACACACA